CGCTCTGACGCTACGACTTGATATCTACATTTTCTCCATGTTGACCATTTCGTCTAAAATGGATCTTATCCTACGCCTTCAACTCATTTCCTAGACACTGTCATAAGGCCTTTCTTCATAGCTATACTAACATTGTCTCCATTGATAGTTTACGCAAATGATGGCTAGACATCGATCGAAATCGGTGGAAGGATTGAAGTCTAAAATGATCCTTAGTCCACCACCGCAATATGATGTTCAACATGATTCATGATGAAAGAGATTATGGCGATCTCTGTCTATAGATCTCTTACTTACTCATTAAAGCATTTTACATCTATAAAATGGCAGTTACTGCATAGTTTCTACATGATCCCATACCACACTTGTGCCAAAAATCACGTCGTGATAATACAAGAGCTTTTAAATATTGATCTACTTGCCCATAAGAGCATCATCTCATTTGGACTGTATGCGTATACTCGGGAATTCAAATCATCTATGGATAAATCATGCCTTTAGTAAACATTTTTTGCTTCGTGATTTGATATGATGATAAGTGCATGTAATTTTATACAATTAGCATTGGTCAGCCGAGGGCCAATATCGCGTTATGATGCATTTATGTTATATTGATGTCATTGCATTTGCTGACTTAGTGTAAAATGAAAATATTTCTTACTAGCAAAATCTTTACTTAATTCATGAAACAGTTCTTTGAGCAACAGTAGATTAAATTGATCGGATACTATCAATTATGGATATTAAAATAGACTACATTCATATTTGTATGTCTACATGATCTGATAGAGATTTCTTTCCATATTGTCAATATTTATCATAAGGATAGCTAGCAGCATGCAGCAATCTAGTACAGAAAACCTACAAAAATAGTACTGCGTGTAGTATAATCCAAACAGTTATCTAATTTCCTTTATACTGGCATACGTACGTATAATTTGGGCGAGGTCATCCTTAACTGTAAGCGAGTATCCATAACCTTCTGAAATGCCTCTTCAAAGCTACTTCTATTAACATATGTTACAAACCCTAAATTATTGGTGTAGTTACTATAGTAACCATGTTTTTCCTTCGATCGTCTTTTGCTGCAACAATACTATGATACTACATGGAGCAACCTACATTCATGCACAATATTATTTTTATTTGAGGCTTAAATCAATAAAACACACTACTAACTCGTTGGCTCTTTCGTACTTTATAGTACTACTTGCTAAGTACTACTTAAGTGAGTGTATTCATATACAGCTAGATAAAGTTAGTCGGGTAGAGGTGTATTCATTTCTAATTCTCTTTTGTTCATTTTTGCCCATCTTTGGAATTGATGGCGTAAAGCCAAATCGATCGCAGTAGACCTACATCTCGACAAACCATCGATTCCTTATTAGCCAATAACTAATCCATAAATTGGTAAATGATCCATCTGTCTTTGATGTTTAGGACATTATAAGTTGCATTTCAACTGAAGATATCAGTCCAAATAACGTGAGCGAAAGCCTTCTTACAATACATACAATTTTTTTGCTAATTATTATTGGCGTTAGCATTAACTTGCTGTTATCTAGTTAAATAAAATATAAAGGTTTAATACTTATCATCGCTATTGGTATAGTATTTGTGTTAGTCGGAGTGTATTTGTAAAATAAAATTAGTCATCTATTTTGGCCTAATTTGATATTAATTGATGTAAACGGTTCTTCGCTAGCGCCATATCTTAAGCTAGAATCTACTATCGTTTATAGATTGAAGAATAATATTTTTATTAGCATTCATAGATGAAATGTTAGGAGAAGGTTTATTTATTATTAAATTTTCTCAGTAATCGTTTTATTCCTGTGTTTGAAAACGACACGTATGCAAGTAGAGTTGTACCAACAAAGCATACGACTAACAGCATAAACATAACATCAATTTGCTTATAAGTAATCGATCATTGCAAGAAACCTTAAATTTGAATTTTATTTGTCTTAACTTATCGTTGGTATCAAGGACTAACATCGTTTCGATATTTTGATATTATCGAATCAGCGCCACACTTTCATTCACTAACTGTTATTAAATTTTGAAAAGGAAAATATGACCGATGATCAATCTGATCATTCTATGGTTCTTCATCATGTACGGTCTCTATATGAAAAGGGTCAAAAATGTAAGATTGCCTACAATTTGGCGGAAGGACTATCCTGTTATACACAAGCTATAGATGAAATTGAATCATTACCAAATCCTAGTATCGGCATTCATCGCCTTCGGTGCGATATTTATCTCGATATATGTGACATTTACACTTTCCAATATAAATGGAAGAAAGCTAATGAATGG